TTGGAAATCGCTCTTAATTATTGTTTGCACTATTAGTGAACTGGACATGTGTGTGCTTAATAAACTGGCGAATTACAGCAGGATTTTCCTATCCTCGGTCAGAAGGCACGGGTGACTTATATGATGAAAGAGAGGGTCCACAGCAATGATAGTTTAGGTCCCTTTAATCCAAAACATCTCCAGGAGTGAATTTGTGTGAGTATATGTAAGTGTATGTGTGTGGTTCTGTAAAATAACAGAAATTACAATTAGCAAACAATTAAAGTCAACCAAACTGATCTAAATAATACAGAAAGGGTTGAACAGAAATCTAATTCGAAAATGACTAAACCCCACCCCCTGGTGGACACAAATGGGCTGCTGCACAGGGATAGACTCCATCTTTACTTTGGGCAGCTCAGTTCACAAGGGTAGCGCCATTTTGGTCGAATCAACGTGAACATACAGTGACTGGTGGCTACACAAACTGCTGGAAAACTCTATAAAAGCATCACACAATGTACATAGGCAAGTATATGATAAGTTACAACCATAGAACAAACAAATATGGCACTTACTTATCATTCACGCACACGCACGACACATGTTCAGTACAACAGCCCAGCTCCACCAGCGCTATCACAGCGAACCAGCGCAAACACAAAACAAGGGATGGGAGGAATGTACCATCTTAGCAGTGATTAGAGGGGGTCCGTGGAACAGTCTATATACACAAATCACAGGGGTTTTATACAGCCGCCCCCTAATGTGTATAGCACATTAGTAAACATTAAAAAACCCATGTGAATATAACTAAGGACATTCAGCTGACAGTTCAGGTAAAGTGATAAGTTTTGACATAGGCCGTTGGTATTTATGTTCCCCAATAGCGACTTCAGCTACTCGCACCTGTCCATCCGGGCTGGGAAACACCTGTGTTACCTGTCCTACGGGCCAGGAAGCCCGTGGGAGCTGATAGTCCACCACCATGACCGTCTGTCCCACTTTCAAAGGTGGAGTAGTCTGGTTCCACTTCTGGCGAGGCTGCAGTCCAGGCAGGTAGCGCTGAATGAACTGAGTCCAGAACTGATCCGCCATGACTTGGCTGTGACGCCATTTTCGCCTTCCAAGTTTTTCTCTGGTGCCATAAACTGCCTGGGGAAGGGAGGCATCACGCCGCCCCATGAGCAACATATTTGGCGTGATCGGATCAACATCTGCAATATCCGAGGAAACATATCCCAGTGGCTTAGAATTAAGTATACCCTCTACTTCAATAAGAACAGTAAGCAACAAATC